TTTTACCTCCCTTCCCATGATAAACACAACCTCAGGGCCTGGGATATAGCTCAGCGGCACAAGTGCACGCCTGGCAAGTGCAAGGTCCTGAGTTCGAGTCCCGGTACCAAAAAAAAAAAAAACCCCAAAAACAAAACAACCCAAAAAAAAAAAAACCCCAAAAACAAAACAACCCCACACTCTCATGGAGATTAGGCAACTTGCCTGAGATCATCCACTTAATAAATAGCAGAGCCATGGCTTAAACTCAGGTATTGGGACTTCAAATTGTGAGTTCTGGGCAACTGTAAACTCCATACACTGTTTCTGCTTTGGGAAGGGTGACAAGTTCTGGTGGAGCCTTGGGATGGATTCTAAATTTGAAGGTAATCCCGTGACTACTGCAAGGAGAGCACACTGTACCAGGTCTGGTGCCAGTGGCTTCATGAGCCCCCACCCTTTGTGATCACCTCCATTTTACAGGTGAAGACACAGCCTTGAGGAAGACACAGAACAGGAAGGGGCAGAGCCTTCCAGTCCCCAGCGCCGGTCCCAGCTTTCCTCCTGATGGTCTGTGGCCATGCAGGTGAATTGCTAAGGGCCTCCTGTGGCCCCAGCCTCCTGGCCTGCCTCTCAGATCACAGCCTCTCAGCTGTCCCTCTCCCTGGTCCAAGAAGGGACTGTCATGGCCAGCAGCTGGCCATCGAGCCGAGGAGGCGTGTTTGTCCTCGGCCCCGGTCCTCAGACGCACTGCAGACAGGACTCCTGTGTGGAGCGTGGCGCCTTTGCCAGCCGCCACTGAGGGAGGCTGCTTTAGATTCCTTTCCTCCTCTGATGGATGCATTTACTCCCACAAAAGTCTCTGTTCTGCTCTAAGATTCCACTTGCAAAGGGGATTAGCACACAGCGGGTGGGGACAAGGTCACCGCCCACCCTGCACAGGCCCAAGATGCCGCAAATGAGCAGAAGGCGGTGCATGGAGACCCGGACCCTGGGTTCTAGGTTGGGTTCTGTTGTTACCTGTGGGACCTTAGCAAGGCCTTTTCTTTCTCTAGGCATCAGTCGCTCCTTTTGTCAAGGCAGTTGGATTAGATGGTTAATGTGCCTTGTGCTATGAACGGGGGGATATTTGCCCTCTCTGGCAAAGGAAGGGGGAGAGGAGAGGACTTCATGCAGTGGGGCTTTGGGAGGGGTCTCCAGGTGCCACCGTGGGGAGGGAGCTGCTCAACTGTCATCCCGGCAGATGCTCCCCAATATCACCAGGGTAATGGAAATAGACTTAAAGACCTTTATTCACTTTTATAAAATCACCCAGTGTTCTTTGCAAAAAGATTAGAAAATAGACAAAAGAACCGTGGATGCAGACCAATAATCTCCAACCTGCCTTAACTCTGTACCTCTAGCAGTCTGTTTTTTAAAAACAATGTTTATTGACATAATTGTACATATTTATAGGGTGCAGTGTGACATTTCATACCTGTATGTGATGCCTGACAGATCGAGGGCACTGGCATATCCATTACCTCAAACGGTTATCGTTCCTTTGTGTGGGAACATGCAAACTCCTATTAGCTATTTTGAACTAAATAATTAATTTTTATTTTTCATTCTGAGGCAGGAAATTGTGACCCTCTTGCCTCAGCCTCCCAGAGTGCTGGGATTACAGGCACACGCCACCATGCCTGGCTTAGCAATCAGTTTTAGTACACATTCCCCATTTGCTTATTTAATAATTATACGTTGTAAAAAATCCACTAAAGTTCAAATTAGGAAAGGTAAGAAAACAAAATAAATGTCTTGATTTCCAGAAGTCCTGGTAGGTAGCTGGGCAGGCTTGCCCCTGCAGGACCACCGGCCTGGGCTTTTACGTGTTGTGGAGACACTGACGGTGAATACGCAGCCGGCGAAGGGCTCTGCCGGCTCTGTGTCCCTGGCCCTGCCGCTGTGTGGCTCCATCAGGAACTCCACACACGTTTCTGGCTGGGTGAATGAGAGGATGAATGGGATGTACTGGTGGCGGAAGAGCACAGATCAGTGTGAGCGGAGTGGGGTTGGCTCTGAGCCACCCTGGGTGGCAGCTGGCGAGACAAGCCGAGCGCCTCCCTGGCCGGGCTGGGCCCTTTGGAGCTGCGCTGCGAGCTCGTGCTTCTGCAATGCTGAAGCAGCTGTTTGGGTTCTGAAAAGCCACAGAACCTCAGCAAGTCGAGAATGAAAGTGATGGCAGCCTGCTGAGGGAGATGCCCAGAAAATCCGCTTGTCCCCCAGTTAGTGAGCCCCAAATCTCTCAGCTAGCTTGTGGCTAGAAGGAAACATTTACATCAGCCAGTCGGCGCAACTACAGGCATTTCAACACACGTGGTTGCCGGTGAGTCCTCAGCACTTCGAGCCCGTACAAGCCTCCACTGTCACCACGACGCCCTGTTTCCTGGGAAAGGCCCATTCCTCTCCTAAGGTGCCTGGTGGCAGCTCCCCCCACACCCAGGACACACGAGAGCTCGCAGGTCCTTTGTGGGCTTGGGGAGCGGGAGAGCCGGGGAGAGGAGGACCCAGAGCCACCGATCTGAGTGTGCCCGAGTGCACTCTCCTGTCCTGTGCATGTGTCAGCGTGAATAAGCGCGCAGACAAGCTCAGCTCCCCGCCTGGCGCTCCAGTGGGTTTCAAGAGATGCTCCTTCCTTTGCCCTCCTTTTGTGTTTTGGTTCTGCTGCCACCTCCCTCTTCGAAGCCCCTGGCCCATCCAAATTCTAGCTGCCTCCCCTTGCCAGAATCCTGGAGGAAATGCCCCCTGCCCAAACTCCCCCAGCCCTGGCTCTGTGGGCCATGCAGCTTCGTCACACGCAGCCCTGCGCTGTCCCCTGATGGTTTCACAGGTGCTGGGTTGGGTCCTGGTACGCGTTTCTAAGCACCCCCGACTGACAGGGGGGCACTTGCGGGAGTCAGGACAGCAGCACTCTGTCCGGCCTCTGCCATGTGCGGAACAAATCACCGAGCCCTCAGCTTCAGTCTCAACTGTAACTTGGAGATAATCACGGGGCTGTGGCTGGGATAATGGGTGTGAAAGTGCCTAAATCACTGCACCGACGTCAAGTGCTGTTATTATCACCTCTGTTGAATCTCTGGAGCCCTGGTGCGTGTGGCTGATAAATACCTGATTGATTGAAGATGAAATAGCTTGGTGACAGCTCCCGTTTGCGCCTAATCCTGCAATTACTCCCTTCATTGGCAATGCAAAACCTCCTGCCTGTCTAAATCCCTAAGTACCCCCAGCCTTCAGCTAATAAAGCAGGGGATGCTGCCCCTGGAGGAACAAATCGTCACCCCCAAAAAACGACCCCAGGTTGCAATGCAGTACGCTGGACGGGCTGCACGGTAAGCACAGGGAAAGGCAAAAGCTGCTCCTCTTCCTGGAAGGTGGCTTTTGGACAGGTGGCATTTGCTGCAGGAGACGCAGCAAGCCCAAGGAACACGAATCCTTTCTGTTAAAGCTATCGCGGCTTCGGGGGAGCTTGTAGAAAATTTCCCCGCCGCGCTTGCTTCAGAAAGGAGGGTGCGTGCAGCAGCCACCCACAGGCAGAGAGAAAGAGCAGTATTTGCTTTGGGAGGTTTTGAGAAGAAGCCAGGCTGTTACTTTTTTTTTTTTTTTTCCTTCTGCGTTGAGGACTCCGGTTTGGACTTGCTGGCAAATGCCGTGCGGAGCTCATCTTTTGTTAGTCTGCCGAACAATGTTATTGGTTATAATTGGGGCAATTACGGGCTGCTCGAGAAGCTAAACACAGATGTTTCAGCCTGGGATCAGGGTATTCAAGCCCGAAGTGGCTCGCTTTAAATAGTCCCCTTCCCGAGCCATCCCGCCTCACTTGAAATTCCACCAGAACTTGCCGGCGTTGGGAGCGAGACGGGGAGGCGGGCGCGGGGAGCGACAGGCGCGGAGGGGGGAGCGAGACGGGCAGGGCAGAGACGCACAAAGAGGAGGAGGAGGAGGGCAGGGCGGCAGCGGCGAGAGTAAGATGCTGCGACTCAGAATGGAGTATTCCACACGCCCCGGGCAGAGACCGTTAGATGGGAGAGACGGCCAGTGGGGAAGAGATGCCAGGAGAGAAAGGAAACCCCCGAACGATCAAGGTCTGGGAGACCAAGGTCAGGCCCACGGAAATTCTCTATGAAATGCACCCCACGCGTCCCTCTGCATTCAGCGGCGTATACAGGTGGAGCGGGACCCACCGGTCCTGCCTGAGTAGCAATGTCTCCTGAGGGCGGAGAGGGAGAGGGCTCCCCCCAGAAGAAAACCTCAAATCCGAAAGGCATCAAGTTCACTGAAACGTGGGGAAGCAGCCTGCATGCATCAGAGAAGGGCAAGAAGCAGAGAGAAAGCCCTCCCTGGGGTCCCAGCGGTGCCCCCAAACAGCCCGCTCCCCGTGCCTGCTGCTGCTGGCCTGACCCGGCTCCCGTGACCACCACTTCTCCACGGAGAGCAGCGACCAAGTAGGGGCCACCGCCCGGGAAGCAAAACTTTTCCTCATCCAAGTTCAGCTTTTTCTTGTTCCTTGTGCATCTCTCTCTGAGACTGAAAAAAAACAAAAACCCCTCGACCCTCCCCCTTTCCCACCATCCAAGCCCTGAAAATAAGATGAATGAAGAAATCATCTCACGACAGGCCAGCAGCAGGCGGGCTGGACAAAGGACAGGGGCGGGGAGGCCAGCCCGGGCTGCCCCACTCTCCCCAGGCAGGCAGTTAGTCACGGCGGGTCGCAGGCGGCTCCTACCTGGGCGCTGGCTGTCCGTCGCCGGCTGCCTGGGATGCGAGGTTCGGTCCCTCCGTGGCAGCCACACCAGCATATATATCCTCCCCCCACGCACAGCCCTCCCCTTCCCTTTGTAGTCTCTACCTCGATGACACACGCACACGCTGACCCCCTCCGGCCCCCAAACGGCAGCACCTCCAGCCCTGCCAGGCTGCCCCCCTCCTGCTGGCTCTGCCACCAGACCTGTGACACTGCCACCCTCCCCATCCGCCTGCTTCACCTGGGCTCGGTGTAGCCAGGATCCCGAGGCTTCCTCCGCAGCTTCCCGAGGCTCTGTGAGCTCTGCCGGGGAACTCTGGCAAGGCGCTCAGCGCAAAGGACTCCTGGCGACGTGACCAGGCGGACCCCAAATCCTGGAGTCTCCTTGAGCAACCTTTTGCCTGAGGAGGGGAGGGCAGGCAGCAGGCGGGAGGGAGGGGCCGCTCGTGCCAGGCTCCCACCGGCTCCGGAAGCCCAGGGCTGAGCTCAGCTGAGCCCTGTCCCAGGGTCACAGGCGGCAAGGGCCAGGCCACCGACGGGGGAGGCTGCACCTGCCGAGGGCCCCGTTGGCGTGCGTGTCCACAGGTGCCCTCCCCGAGCCGTGGCGCCTGCGATTCTGGGTGAACCTCTGTGAAATGGGTCCCTAACCCAGGACCCCAGCGCGGAGCAAGGAGACTTGTCAGTAACTGTTAGTGCTCTGCCCGCCTGCCCGCCCGCTGGCACCTTAGGGAGCCCGTGTCAGCGTCCGTGCCGCTCCTGCGCCTCGTGGGCAGGAGGCTGGGGAGCTGTAGAGGACGCCCTGCCCTCGCCAGGCCCTGCCCTGGCCCTGGCCCTGCCCTTTCGCCCTGCAGCTCACAGGCAGCCCCGAGCCTGCGCAGAGCGTCCCGGGAGGCCCCTATCCCCGCTCTGGTCAGCGCTCCGAGGCCGCGTTCCTGGCTTTCCCGGGAGCGTCCGATGCGTCCCGGACCCCGGCTTGGAGCTGCCGGAAACACAAACATACCTTCAGGTGGCAAGGGCCGTTCTCTGGTGATCCTGGGGCTGGGTGGAGCGTTGAGGGCCACCTCTGGCCTGAGCCTAATGGGGGCGGTTTCTTTCCCACCCCGTGGAAGTGGTCTGCAGGGCGATTGTGCCGATGGCTACCCGGCAGGCACCGAGCCCCACCGAACTGCGGGCCTTCAAGCGGTGGACGTTATGTGGCGGGCATCGCAACCAAGGAAAACAGGAACGGAGATCACGGCCCAGGTGCGAGCCTCGAGTTCTGAGAATAAACTCCCTCCCAGCTGTGTTCCCAGTGCAAGGCCCGGTGACTTCTCGCTGAGACTTTGCACTCTGTGACTGCCGGTCCGAGTAATTGGCACGTCCGCTGCAGGCCACGAGGGCAGTTTTGCACCTGATGAATCAAGAGCCTGATTTCCCGCAGGCGAGGCAGGCTTTGCAGGTCACCTACCCAATGCCTGGTTCCCTGTTCTTCTTCTGATTTTATTCCAGGGGGCAATGTGCTCATCTAAAAGACATTTCCTGTCCTGCATAACTCAAAGTAGCCAATGAGACTGAAGCTACTAGCCTTGTGGGTGGGGCTTTTAGAAAAGGTCTTTCAGAGGGAGCCAACTCAGCTAGAAGAAGTCTCTTCTGTTGCTGCCTTCATGGAATACAAATGTGATGGCTGGAGCTCTAGCAGCCATTTGGATCATGAGACAACTTTGAGGATGAAAGCCATAGCTAAAGATGATGGAGTGTGAAAATGGAAAGACTCCAAGTCCCCATGATTATGAAGCTACCACGTCAACTCTGGGTTTCCAACTTTTTTTAAAAGAAAAAAACCCAAGCCCCTTATTTCAGATATCAGTAGGGTTCTGGTACATGTTACTGCATAACCAGCTTTACTCTTGGGGCCTTGGGGTGGGGTGGGCACTCTGTGGACACTGTTGTACTTGCTTCTGGATGGCTGTCCCTGCCAGGTTGGGTGCTGACTACAAAGTTACTAGACAAAAGGGGCAACCAGACAGAGCCCCTCACTGGAGCCATCAGGAGCACCAACTCTCCCTGCTTTGTTTTAGCTGAGCATTTGGATTTTGTTACATCCGTGGGCAGACCTGCCCTTGATCCTGGTGGTCCTTAGAATTTTCTGGTGGCTGAGTGCCTCTCTTCCTGTACAGCAGAAGGACAGAAAAAGCAGGAGGAAAAGTCTCTTGACTGCTCTGAGCTTTTCTCTCCCAGGTTTCTACGGGAGGTGCCGAGCCCAGTGGCGTGGGTGTGCTTCTGGTGTGCATGGAGCTGCAGGCGCAAGCCCGGCAGAGAGCGTGGACCAGTGGCGTGCAATGGTACGAACGCCTCTCCTGGGCACCCCGCTGCTGGGTTGACAGTGTCTGGGGGCCCCAGGCTTCCCTCTGGTGTGGTGAGCTCTGCTACGCAGATTGCCAGAGCAGTCATTAGAAGAGGTGGTGAGGAAGGGCGCTCTGGCTTATTTCCTTTACTACAGAGGGTCAGACGTTCACTCCCGGCAGGGGGCTGCAAGAATCAGATTCGACAGGTGCGTGCGGAGCCCGATACGTCAGCGCCCATCAAAGGGGAAGTCAAGGGAGAGAGGCTACGAGCTGGGCCCGACCCTGGACTCCACCGACTCCACCCACGAGGCCACCCAGGATTTCCCCTGCCCCCAGCAAAGAGCGCCTCTTCCCAGGTGCGGCTGCCAGGATTGCACCTACCTCCAGCTGTCTCCTGAGTAACCGCGGAGCAGGACCCTGGCTGGAGACGCTGCTTCTGATTTTCAAAGGGGGAAAACCCGCTTCACATTTGAAAACACCTTTAAGTTGGACTCAAATGGATTTTAAAAATAGACACATTTCTCTACATCTTTGCAACAAAATATGGAAGGATTTTTGAACTATGGAGGGCAGGTTGAATTTTAGTAACAGTAAGAAGCAGGCTTTTGATTTTAGTTTTTTCCTTTGCTGCTGGGGATGGAATCCCGGCTTCTTGCGTTGTAGGCACGTGCTGGGCCGCTGATCTATTACCTGACACAGAATAACTGCACAGATTTAAGGGGTGTGGTACGATACCGTGGTACACTTATTCAATGTGAAACAACCCCAACAGGGTAATTAGCATAGCCATCACCTTAAACTGTTATGGATTCTTCGTGTTGGAGACATTCACAACCATCTCTTCTAGTTATTTAAAAATACATGGTAGGTGGTGATATAGTGGCACAAGTGCCTGCTGGGCAAGCGCAAGGTTCTGAGTTAGATTCTGAGTAAAAAAAAAAAAAAAGAGACAGACAGTAAATGATTGCTAACCTTGCTATAGAACATCAGTGCTTACTCCTTTGCCATTGAATTTTATACTTGTTAAGCAAGTTCTATACTTGCTACTTCCCTGCCTCTTCCCAACCACTGTGCTACTTACTCTCTGCTTCTATGACTTTGTTTTTTAAGATGGGTTCTTGCTGTGTTGCCCAGGTTGGTCTCAGACATCTTGGGCTCAAGTTGTTCTCCTGCCTCAGCCTCCTAAGTAGCTATAACTACAGGTGCACGCCACCCCATACGGCCAAGGTCACCTTCTTGAGCTTCTGTATATGCATGAAAACAGGGAATACTGAACGTCCTTCAGCTCCATCCATGTGGCTGCAGAAGACAGGATTTCATTGTCTTTTTTAAAAAAATTTTGTTTTTATTTTTATTTTTTTTTGTCTTTTTGAGACAGGGTCTTGCTATGCAGTTCAGACTGGCCTCGAGCTCACTTTGTAGCTCAGGCTGGTCTCGAACTCGCAACAATCCTCCTGCCTCAGCCTCCCGAGGGCTGGGATTACAGGCGTGTGCCACCACACCTGGCTTTTCATTGTCTTTTAATGGCTATATAATACTCCGTGGTATATGTGCCCCTCTTCTCCATTCATCTGTCCATGGGCACATAGGTCCCACATCTCAGCTGGTATGAACAGCACTGCGTCTGACATGAGAATACAGTTATCTCTGATTTCAACTCCTTTCGATATGTACTTAGTAAGGGGGCTGTTGGATCACACAGCAGTTTCATTTTTATTTTATATTTTTTTGGAGGAATAGTGTGAAAATACTATTTTCTGTGATGGCGTTCCTGATTTACATTCCCACCAAGAGTGTGTAAGGACTGTCTCTTGTCTACATCTTTACTGCCGTTTTCTGCTTTTTTTGGTCTTGGTGTTGGCCATTCCTCCCCTACTCCCAGTTTTTTATTTATTTTATTTATTTATTTATTTTTTTTACGGTACCGGGGATTGAACTCATGACCTTGTGCTTGCCAGGCAGGCGCTTATGTCACTGAGCTATATCCCCAGCACCAGTTTTTATTTTTTATTAGTACATTTTGTTTTGTTTTGTTTTTGAGACAGGCTCTCACTATGTAGGTCAGGCTGGCCTTGAACTCACTATGTAGCCCAGGCTGGCCTCAAAATCGTGGCGATCCTCCTGCCTCAGCCTTCCGAGTGCTAGGATTATAGGTGTGCACCACCACGCCCAGCTAGTACATGTTTTCATCCCATAATTTTTCTCCCAGTGGAGAGCTGGTACATGTACGTAACAATCTCAATTCCTTCATCCCCTTTCCCTCGCTTTTCTGCCCTCTCTCCATCGATCCCCTTCCCATTTGAAAAAGATCTCTCCCCCCACTTTCTATTATCTATCCTTTATTTTGCTCTTTATTCATGTTGGGGGATTCTTGTACGATAGAAACCATGTAATACTTAAGCTTGTGTGTCTAGTTTATTTCACTTAACATTATGGTTATAAGGTGCACTCATTTTCCTACAAATGACTGAAGTTTACCCTTCTTTATAGCAGAATAGCACTCCATTGTGTATGAACACCTAATTTTCTTTCCCCATTCCTCTGCTGATGGACATATACTGCTTCCAAGATTTAGCTCTTACGAGCACGGGTATGCATGGATCACTGTAATGCGATCTCTTTAACTCTTTCAGGAAGATACCTAGAAGGGGAATGGTTGAGTCACATGTAATTTTTATTTGCAGTTTTTGTGAGGAATCTCCATGCTGATTTCCACAGTGGTTGTACTAGTTTACATTCCCTTCGACAATGTAGAAGGGTTCATTTGTCTCCCATAGCCTATCTGGCATTTCTTATTATTTGATTTCTTGACAGTAGCTTCTGGGATAAGATGGCATCTCAGTGTTGTTTTAATTTGCATTTCTCTAATGACCAGAGACATTGAACATTTTTTCCATGGATTTATTGGCCATTTGTACTTTTTCTTCTGAGAATTGTCCATTCATTTCATTTATCCATTTTGTGACAACTTTTCTTCTTTCATTTTGTGGGGGGATCTGATTTTCTGAGTTCTTTATACCCTCTGGATAATAGGCTTCTGTCTGACAAATAGCTGGCACAGCTTTTCCTGTTCTTTGGGCTGGCTCTTCACTGTTGATTATTTCCTTTGCTATGCTGAAGCTTTTTAATTTGCTATGATCCCATTTGTCAATTCTTGTGATGGTTTCCTCTGCCATTGGGC